AAAAATGCGTATAATTAATATTATATGTACAGGAAGTCATGTGGTGTACAATCAGATATTTTCAAAAGCAATATTGTATGTTGTTAATTGTTCGGAATTTCATTACTTGCATAAACCAAATACAAAAGAAATAAATAAGAAAAAAAAAATTTTTTTCCGTACAGTGTTGCCATTGCTCGCTTTGAAATCGTTGACTTTGTTAATCAAAAACTCGTTAAAGCGTTACAAAATATGAAATGGATAAAAGAATTCCGAATTAGAGCTTCCAGATCCCCATTATTCGTTGGAAGATTAGATTATTTAAGACTGGATGGCTCTAGGTACCCTTGTTTTATTACAATGCGACAAACATACATACACTTATGCTAATCCTTCATTATTTAATTTCTTTAAATGAACGCAAGACTCTAATATTTGGTGGCAACAATCTGAAAAGTGAACCGACATTTATCGTGAACCAACACAAAATGCCAAAACGAAATTAATAACCCTTCTGGGCTATTAATTTACTTCCTTTGGGCTAAAAATGGGATGGAAGCAACACCTGAAGTGCTGCCTATTGAATAAAAGAACTAGAAAAAGTTAAAAAATGTGAAATAGAGATTGTAAGTGCTTCTCTTTGTGTGTGGGAGGGGAAGGAGAGGAAAATGAACAAAAAAAAAAAAAAAAAAAAAAATCTGATATGAACATGATATGACTTCTTTGTATGGCCGATTGAATTATACGCATTTTTTGCTGCGCTTCATGTAAATTTATTTCCTTGAATTTCATCAGATATCTATCTATTTATCATTCAGTCAATTTAGTTCTCACTTCGCGGCAAGGCAAAAAAATGAAAACATTTTCATTAAAAATTGTAAAATACAGAAAAATCTGACACATAAAATATAAAAATTTTCGACGAACCCAAATCTAAAGTTTTATTTTGGTCCCATTCGTCAAAATGGCGCTGAAGTTAATGCTCAAACTAACTAAATTCACTATTCGATTAAGAGTTTCAAAAGTAAACAAATGGCGGCCTCGTTAGGCTTAGTACCACTTAAATAACTTTTAAATTGTTGATAACTCGATAACTATTGCAGGCAGATTACATAAAGGCATAAAATATTTTCCGGAACATTAGAACAACATAATTCGATCCCCAAAGCAAAAAAATAGTTCAAGCAGTTTATATTAATTCTTGTATGTTAAAACATACAAGAATTAATAATCTGAGCTCACCCAGCCGAGTAACAGGATAGGCATATATATATATAAGTTTGGTGCGGCTAATTAAACCGAGAAGGGAAGTGCACAACTACATGTTCCATATACGAAATTTCAACACTCTGAGCTCGTTTCTGAGTTATGCGTTCCCCCCCCCCCGTGACGTTTGTAAAAAAAAAAAAAAAAAAAAAAAAATCTGAACCCATTTTACAATCCATTTTGGAAAAAAGGGTGCTTTATTGTGGCCGTATATACAGATGGTCACGCAGAAACATTGTTCAGACCGGTTCGAGATCGGTCAAAATGGATATCTTCGTTGAAATATGACAATCGAAATTTTTCGCGATTGCAATACTTCCTTCTAAATACAATTAAACTAAGGTTATTAAATTTTGATGAACCCGGAATCAAGAAAATCTAGTTTAGTGACTTGTGAGAGGTTTAGTGTAAATAATTTATAAATATGGTTTCAAGGTCAAAGCACGGGCAATGATTAATGTTGGTGCTTCCATCATTCTTTTTATTTGCCTTTATTGATATCAGCTGTCAAATTTTAAAGCTGCTTTTATTTTAAAGCTATCGACAACCTTTCTCAAATAAGGTAGCATAATTGTTAAATTCGTTTTAGAAGACAAAGTTTCGTCAACATTAATGCTTAATACAAGGCCTGATTTAAGCAAAAGTAAACAGCCGTTGTGCGCTTTGAATTAATCAATTAAACTCACCTAATTTTCCAGAAAAAATACGATCCGTATTTAACATTTATGAGCTTATATTTTATCAGCGCATAATGAACTGAAACTGAGGGATGAGGGAAACTTCGTTTAAAATACTGTTACGAAATGTCCAGGTACGATAAGATAGCTTCCCCGCAAGGCTTTAAGGTTGCCAGAAAATGCGAAGGGTAGGCAGGGTTGCCACATTTGGCAAGAAATCGCCAATTTGGCGATATGGCATAGACGGATGGAGAACCTTCTAGAACGCATTCTTACTGGTTTAGCCCAGAATGTTCTCGAACACAATCCAAAAGCTATATAAACCCCTGCTGGTACGCGGATAGTTAGTCAGTGTCGGTCGAGTCCATCGAGTTCATAGTGAGTCCGTGCGAAGTTAGTGAGAGCCCATTGAGTTGATAGTGAGTCAAAAGTGCCGAGCTGGTTCGTCGAGTGCACCGAAAGAGTGTATCGTCGAGTTTCATCTTAGAGTGTGTTGAGCTCCGGGAACGACTGAACCGAGTCGGGAGATGTACTCTAGTGTATTGTTGAGTGCATCGCGAGTTGTAGCGTGGAGAGTCTCGAGAGTACGTAGAGTTCCGAGAACGACCGAGCAGAGTCGGGAGCTGAACTCTGGCGCTTTGCCGTGAAGCTGTCTTCACCGTTATAGCCTGATAGACTGGGGGCTGCTTTCGCTGATTGTTTCAGTGTGTTTATAGTAGTTCTTCGACGACTGTAAACGTGTTATTGAAGCTCCTTTAATAAATATTAGCCAATAAAGTGTGTTTTGATACTTCATCAAGTATCGTCGTTATTCACTCCAAATCCTTACGAACGCTTAGAGTACGTGAAGAAAAATAACGCAGCAATACTTTTAAATGAAAAACATTGAACATTAGGTTATTTTTTAAAACATTTGTAAATGATTGACATAGTCGTAGTTACTATGCTGGGGGGGGAATAGAAAAAGGGATACTCGCCTTGGGCGTCCAGTTTTTTAAACTGGTCCTCGGTTTATTAAAACCGGATGTTTAATCCTGACATGAGCAAGTATAGATTATTTCAAGAGATTGAAATTTAGAAGACTAAAAAAGTAATTCTTGACGGAAGGGACTAGAAGAAGAATAAAACCTTTAATATAATAACGAGTTACCTCAGTCCAGCCGAGAGGAGCAGGAGAAGGAGGTGGTCGGCGTAACCATGGTAACAACAGGAAGCTTAACTTTTAGAGACGGAATGAGACAAGGGGAGGGAAGATAAGAAGGGGAAGAGAAGTTTAAAGCTGTAGGGAGAAGGAAAGAATACAGCGAACGCGAGGGGTGGACGCGTGCGAATAGTTAAGCCTCTAACAACGTCATTGCGCTTCTAAGATACCGACTTTTTAAATTTATTTATTTATTTTTTATCTCCCCCCCCCCTCCGAGGAAACGAAGCTTCTCTCGAACTACTTAAGTTTTGTTCTGTGCACCAACAAGTGGGATGTCTTCACCCGTTGAAATATGTTTTTCTTTTTTATTTCCTAACAATATAGGGCATAACATAAAGGGAAGATAAATTCGAAAATTAACATTACCTATTCGCTGATGACCTTCATTTACGTCTTTACGAAGACTTAATACTAACAGAATCACTTTTAGTACCACTTCTTCGTAATTAGATCAGGAAAACTCGTTTTATGTTCTGACAGATGAACGCCACAAGAGTCAAGATCTTGTGTACTAAGATATATAATATATATACATATATATAAAGTAAGACATTAGAACCAATTTTTCACAAACGACCATAAACTGAAAATTCATCAATTGATAAATTTTTTCCACATAATAGCTATAAAAATGCAATAAAGGATTTAAAAAAAAAAAATGTTTAAAACCAAAAACTTTTCAATGTCAAACAGCCATACCCCCAATTCAAAAATTTAAAGAAATGTATATATATAAACAAAAACATGATCCATTCATATAGAGCTGTTTTAAAATTTTTAAAATTAAATGAAAATTCAATTGTAAACAAATAAAAGATTAATTATTGCTGCGAACTAATTTGCAATATCATTCAAATTCAAAAAGAATATTGGATGATACTGCATATTAGTTCATAGCAATAATTAATCTTTTATTTGTTTACAATTAAATTCTCATAATTAAAATTTAAAACAGCTTTATATGAATGAGATAATGTTTTAGTGTTTGTTAATTTCATTCCTTGCAGCAATGGCGCAAGAGAATTATTTAATTTGATTTAACTTTATCTTAATTTCTTATATATATATATGCATGTAAATAATTTTATTGAATGCATGTAAATAATTTATGCATGTATGCATGTAAATAATTTTATTGAATTTATATGTAAAATGGTACCTTTTGTATAATGTAACATAACAACCTGAAGAAGCTTTGCCGGAAAAATATACTGGGGAAAGTCTATTTAACATTGAGTAAACGGCTGTATCTCTAAATTGGCGAGATATCGCCAAGTTGGCGATGGATTTGGAGACTAACTTTTGTCACCAGATTTGGCGAGAAATTACATAAGTCGTGAAACTAGGCGACAATCTGGCGACATTTTGCTCCGGTCCATGTATAACTGTAATTGGTATTACGATTGGACAACTGCAATTAATGACTATACGCAACTGTAACTGTATCCGGCTCTTAGATGTAACTTTAACCGTATATGCCTTCCAGTTATTTCGAGAAATGGAATTTACTTGAGATTTCTCCTCTCTTTAAAAAGCCAGATTCTGCCGACAGATGGCACCACCTTCATGTTCGCATTACTCTTTTTGGATATAAGTATAACTGTAGCTTTTTCTTGGTTGCAGATTTTTCGGTTCATGATGAGGTGGGTCCTGTACCCGTTTGCCCTGCAAACTGATAGCACCTATACCAAACAAATCTATGCCAAACAAAAAAAAATCTATACCAAATCTATGCCTAAAAAAATCTATGCCAAATCTATGCCTAAAATCTATGCCAAACACAAGGTTGTTGCGTTGCATAATTTTATGTGTGTAGTACTGCAGGTTGTACTCAAAATGTGATTTTCATGCAAGAAAGTTCTAAAAGGGCTTACCTGAGTTTGTGTTGGAGTGTGATGTTTGGCGAACAGGTGTGAGCATGTGTTGTGGCCGAGGCCTGGACTGGTGCAGTGGCAACTGCTGAGGTAGTTGTCGGTGCCGATGAGGATGATGATGTGTACCTGTTCAAAAGAACAATACATATATTTTTAATAATACACGATTGAGTACACAGAAAATCAGAAAGTTTTGCCTGCAGTCTATTAATGTCAAAACAGCCAACTAAATTTAAAGTTGTCAAAGATTTTGCCTAACTGACGCCAATTTTTGTTTGCAGAAATTTGAAGGGACAATTGCTCTTTATTTAGTTAGATAATCATCAAATACAAGTATCAGACATGACATATAAAACGCTTAAATAAATACGGTGTCAAACGCGCGCTAATCATTCCGGGGGAATCTCGATGGATCAGGCGTCGCCAATTTTTATCCATTTTCAAATAAATTACCATCACGTTGTGCTTATTAACGAAAACTTTCTTTGATACCAGGATACCAGGATACCAGGATACGAAAACTTTCTTTGAAAATATTCCACTGCAAGCTGCTTCACAGAAGGCAGGTTTTGAATAATTGTTTTTTTAAATGCGAGGAGAAAAGAGATACAGCAGTTATCTTATATCCTTTGTAGTGTCATTACGTTATTTTGAAGCAGCAGGCGTGAAAAGCGCGCAATGCCCTTGTCGGAACTTGAACCACGGACCTCGTGGATTGGGACTTCTTCGAAATTCATTTGTGTCAGCGTCATCTTTTCGTCTTTCCACTCAGCCATCTAAGACTGCAAGTTGCTCAAGTACCCGAATTCGAGGATTCCTGCGGACTTATAAGGGGAAAAGTGCAAGGAAACTCCAACTTAACCAATTTCCTTAACGCGTTTCGTCAAACCAAAGCAATTGAGACAGAAAGCGGAATTCATTAATAAATTTATCAATATATAT